GATATTAGCCTCGGCTAAAAGAATTAACTAACAATTCTTATTTTGTTCTAGACGGAAAAGAGACCGTAACTAAAAAATTCTTTGGATTTCGGTCAGAAAGGCGATGGAGGGGTACTTGAAATCCTAGACCCAGATAGTTTTTACTTAAACAACACAGAGTCTTATTACAGTTTCGACTCGAGATTGCTTTCGATATGAAGCCTTAAGACCTCCTGTTTCTACACGCTTTTACCGATACGTACAGAACTTTTTTAGAAGCATCACAGAACAGATAGCAACATGTATATCAAATCTGATAAAAATCTGATTGTTAATTTTATTATCGATAGAACTCCCTTAAAATTTGATCTCTTTTTTTTTTACGTACCACTTGGGGCTGTAGAACACAAAATGGTGGCTGACTGATCGCTAGGACCAAAATTGTTCCACACTCGTATGTAGAAGGAGTAATTAGTGTACGGCTCAAGAAGCTTCGTCACTTCTACTGACGTAGAATTCCCTGGTTCAGGCGGCGAAACTTCTTCCTTTCCTCCTTCTTTTTACGTTACATGAAATAATATAAATAGAATGTTATATATCAATTCAACATTTATAATTGAAGTAACGAGCAAAACTAAATATCTTTTAAAACTAAGATCGTTTCGTTCGATTTTAAAAAGTTATTCAAAAAAGCATTGGTTCAATTGTGTTCTTTACTATATTTCTATTAGTATTGAAATGCATGAGATACTCACCTACAGGACTGTAATGGACGGTATAAGCTTTAATACTGCTATGTGGTAGAGACTTTGGTGGTTCCCAAGAAATAAAAATTTTAACAGGTGATAGAGCGTGACACTTTAAAGAGGTAGGTGCAGCAGGACTATTACGAGACGTGTTTACTTGTAGCCGACCCGCGGCCCAAATTTCTCCCGCTGAGTTTACAGCAACGCATTGATAAATACCAGCGTCGGCAGGAACTGTCGCGGATATTGCCAGTTCCGTTTTATTGCATTCCTTTATATATATAGTTCTACGCCCTAAAGACATAGTAACAAACGTGAACACACGTGAAACAAATATGTAGGGTGTCGCTGGATGAAGCGATCAAGCTGTATCAGCATGTTCTATGAGTGAAGGTAAGAAAAAATTATTATATAAAACATTGGTTTGCAAATGTTTTATAAAAAAGTTATAATAAAAAATGAACCTAAAATCAGTAGCGAGTTCGCTGTTAGTACATCGGAATGTAACAATAAATCGAAAAAACAAAATGAAATTATAAAATAAATAGTGAAGTTTGATTCCTTAATCCGGGGACACCCTATATAAACAGACGTATAAGAAATAATTGTACCATTAATTGTAATATTTAATGAATCTTTTAACCAATATATTTTGGGCACAGGTACTCCTTGTGCTTGGCATTCGAATCTCGCTGTTCTCCCATTTGGACATACTTGGTTTGCAGGTGTCTTCACGAACGACGGTGGTATTAATACCTCCACCGTCACATTCTGAAATTATTTGTTCATTACATAATTGATGATAATCGATTGCTCTTATGACAATTTTTCCTAAAAACATACTTGAATCTCCACGTTATTGGTAATAAGATTTTTTACAGAACATATATAAACGCCTGCATCGGTTGCACTCACATTCACTAGTTGCAATACACTAATACCGATAGTAGAATTAAGCAAAATGCGAGGTTGTGCAACATTGTGATTATCTGCAAAATGAATAACCCATCGTATGAAGTGTATTAAAAGTAGTCAAATTGATATCACGAATATAAATTACCGGTATAGCGAGGAATAAATGACCACATCATAAGTGGCGGCGGATATCCAGACGCTGCACATGCTAAGCTAAGGTTCGATCCGTTCAGCAGCCAATGGTTATACGAAACTTGCGGAAATAAAAACGGCGGTGTATGCGAAACATTTCCCTCTGGCCGTGAAATTACATTCAGCTTTGCTTCTTTACTTTTTTTGGTTTTCCTTAGGAATTCATTATTTACTATGCATCTGCAAAAAACAGAAAATACATTTACTTGTTACAAGGGGAAATTGAGACATGTGGGACAGATTTCAATACGTCTCATGTACAGAATACCTAAATATCCCCTTTGTTTGCGATGATAGGAAAAATATTTTTTATACAATGTAAATGATATCAAAGAATTCAGGCTTAAAACATTAGGCTTAAATATCTGCAGCTTCTGGATTGTCGTTTCTAAAAGTCAATTTTATCGGTGGAAATGAATTTTATATTTAATTCCAAAATTCGAATTTCCGTAATTAGAGGTCACTTTAAAGTCTGTTACTAATACGTTTGACTGCGTTCCAATGTCTACTGTAGTATACAAAAGAAAAGATGTACATTTGCGAGCAAAAAATATTAGTGACGTTAAAAACTTCGAATAAAATGACGTTGTGAATACAGCTCTTGCAAAGCATTCATCTTTCAATATCATTTATATAGCATAATTTTTCCTACCATCGCAGATGAAGAAGACATTTAGATATCTGCATTTTGGTGGACCACCCTGTCCGTCGTAGTATCGTAGGTGTTACGTAACAATATTTGTTTCAATTTTGAGTCAAACACTCAATCGTCTTCAAGATATTAACAAAAAAAGGTGCCGGTTACATTCTTTTCTTTAATTTCTTGAGGAAATTGTACTTAGTATAAATAGGCGCCAATAATTGATTATGAATTCGTGTATTTTTATACGATCCTCGGTACTCATTAACTCTCTCTTCAATCTCATCAAATCTGCAGCGTTTCGTAGCTTTACTACAAAAGTACGATACTATTACTATGACAAAGTTTAACGTACTTCTTCTATACACCGGCACATTTTTTTATTAATATTTCGCAAACGATTGATTGTTATGCTCGATATTGAAGTTGTACTACACTTTTAAACTATAACATATACGAAGAACATGAAAATTTGTGTCGCCTCTTGTTAGATTCGTCGGTAAACTTTTGCAGTACAATTGAATGTAATATACGTACTTATATGAACCAGCATCTGATAACTTCGTTGCTTGTATATATAGAACACCTGGTGGTATCATTATATACTTATTACTGGAAATTGAATAAGGTTTATTAATACAGTCAATTATTTGATCAGTTTAAATCCTAATGTCGAAGTAACTTACTTTATATCATTCTGATTAGGCAACAATGTTTTCTCGTTATGCTGCCATGTTATATTAGGAGGAAAAGGAACACTGTCTATCGAGCAAGATAATCTTGCTATTTCACCTTCTTGTGCAGTTATATTTTTTGGTGACTCTTTAAACATGTGAGCAAGTTCTGTAATACGAAAGTATAATTATTAATATGTGTGAAATCAGGCAGCTCAATAAAAAGAAGTTATGAAAACTTACCTGCTATATGAATAAACGTAGGAGATGACCTTAAAAGTCCTAAATTAGTACGTGCTACACATCTGTATTCATCTTTGTAATAATTTTTGGAATTAACAGAAGTACTATTCCTTTCTTTAATTTTTTGCACCATCTATAGTAATAAGAATAAAATAGCTTAGGTAAGTTTAAGTTAAATAAGGTAGAACGTGCATAAAATGTTTTACCCTCTACCTTGTGTAAATGAAGAGAACCATTTCTGAGAAGAGTACAACGTACGATACCACACGGTGGTGCCAGTATTCCATTGTGTAACCAAGAGATATTTTGATTCGAACCAGTTATACAATTAAGTGTAACTCCTTTTTTGCCTAATATCACATGACCACTTGGTTGAATTTCTAACGTTAAACCGGAACCTTTGGTTGGACTAATATTGAGGCTGTCTGACTTTGAAATGTTTTTGTAATGTAAAGTGGTTCCAATTTCTTTGACATCTACAATGTTTAATAAAAAATTCTTTTACGAGTTGCAATCATCATAGGTAGAGCAGATTTTATGCATCATAAAAAGATTATATCGGCAGTGAAGATAAAGAATGTTTATCCATGTTCAAAAATATGGATTAATATTTAAGTTATCTGACTCTGAAATGTTTTTGCAATGTAAACTTGTTCCAATTTCTTTGACGTCTATTTAAGTATTTGATAAAAAATTAAAATAAGTTGCAATCATCGTATGATGTGAATCATAAAACATGGTCAGTGGGACAAAGTTAAGTAAGCCTGTTTAAACAATTCAAGCAAATTTCAGTGATTTAAATCACCATACATTTCAATGATTTTCTTCAATAATAATATCTTTTCATATGTCATAACGATGTAAACAAAAACTACGTAGTACTTGTTAATAATGTGTATTAAAACGTTCTCGGACTTGATTTTGTTTTCGAACGATTTGTATGATTTATAAGTCTAAATGCTTTGAAATTCTATCGATGAGAATACAAAAGAAAATACGTTAGCGCGTGGTCTAGCACGTTCATCAGTTTGATGAATATAAACAGATTAGATAGGCGGAGAGGAAGAGGGAGACGCACCTGCGGCACAAGCGGGCTTTAGCACTTCTGTAAACAAGATGCTGAATAAAAGTACTCGCGCCGCCATATATTCACGCTCATCGGCACTCGTTTCACTAACAAATCTTGGCCAAAATACGCTGTCGATTTGCTAGACTTTTTTGCGAAATCCCTCGCCGCATGTTTGACATCGCCTCTGCGAGAGTTTCTGGCCGTTCCGTTCACCGAACTTTTACCCCCCTTAAGAACTTCGCTACGTTTTCTCACATGTTAATCAAACGTGCGTAATAGAAATCGTCACCGAAGTATCGAGGACGTCGACAATACCGGGAGTTACACGGCCGTCGCGAACGATGTTCGATTAGCTTCGTTTGCATTAGCACGTTATTCATTCGTTTCTTGCCATCTTCTTCTACTACTACTATCCGACCCGGTTTATGTACCTCTCATAGTAAGGCACGAAGATTTGAAATTGTACATCCGCAGCGACGCGTATTAGAAATGAACAGAACTCCGAGAATTCATATAGTCGTTCATAGAAATGGTATAGAAATGGAAATAGAAACGTGTCCTTTATCCTTCGGATTCAGCGATATTTATTTTTCTAGTCGCCTAACGCGCAATGAAATTTAAAGTACAAGTGTGATAAATTAAAAAAAAACATATTTTTAGCAGAACTGGCTTCTGGCATAGCACAGGATATATATAATAAGTTTAGAAAGTGCGAATACGTTGATTCATTGAAGAATTGAATTAACCCTTAAAATTTGAATGTGTTGAAACATGGCGCGTCAGAATGTTAATACGGACTATGAAAAAATGTTAGATAATAAAAATGTTGACTTAGATAACTGTCGAAAATTAATTAAATCGTACATCGACTTGGTAATGCTTCAAAATTCACCTATACTTTATCAACCACATACCTTCTTTTCAAATTGTGAAACAGAGACAACTGTTCATTTATTTACAGCATTTGTACAGTTCTGCTTTGTTTTGGGCAGATAAAGTTGTTTCACTAAGTAACGAAGATCCTAAGGATGTATGTACATTAGCACATTGCATGTACTTAATGAAACAATATCATAGAGCAGCTCACCTGATCCAAAGTCGTGGATTAGAGAAGGTAAGTGCAAATTTAATAAGTCTTTCATCAATATTTACTTAATTATCAGTGATTGCTTATGGAAAGTGAAAGATTTATAGCAGTTTAAAAGATATGTTCTGATAAATACATATATTTTATCGTTAGGACATTGAAATGTGCATTAAGTTTTTCATTTTCTTCGTAGTTTCCTACGTTACATGCAGCACTTAGCATCTTTGCATATAAATGATAAATGCATAAAATCTGCTGTCTAATTATCAGATATGTTTTTATTTATACATACTTGGCATTTTTACAGACAGATGTAATGTGTCATTATTTGACAGTAAGAAGTCTTTTAGAAGCGAAACAATATAATGAAGCACTTCAAGTCATTAAAGAATCAGAAATATGTACAAACATAACTCAGTCAGGATTTGGAGATCGTATAGATATATTAGAGAATGCTCCAAAAAATGTAAGTAGACATAAATGGTCTTCAAACATTGCTCTTTAAGCATAATTAACTTCACTTCTTTTTTAATAGGTACAAAGTTCAATTTTATATGTAAAGGGAAGAATATATGAAGCTTTGGATAATAGGGCAGTAGCAGCTGATTGTTACAGACAAGCCCTGAATTGCGATGTGTATTCGTATCAAGCATTTGAAGCTTTAGTTCAGAATCAAATGCTCTCAGCTGCTGAAGGTATACTAATGTTAGAATTATTTAAATCGAAATATCTCCTAAACTATTAGCTTTTCGACATACATAGTCAGTACTTTTTTTATAAAGAATGTCCAGTTGTTTCGTTTGATGTAAAAAAAAATACCTCATTCGATTTGAAAAAACGAAGTTGACTTTCAAATCTTCTAAGCATCGCTTCATCTGCAGAAAAGTTATGTACACCATGTAACGTAACTATTCGAAACCAAATAACTTCTGTCAGAAACATTTTTTCCTATCGCAAAAAATGTAGAAGTCATTCAGGTCATATTTCATTGAAAAATAACTTGTTCGATGCAATATTGAAAAAGTTAGTCGTTTCCGAAAAGTGTCCAAATATTAATAGAAATCCGAATGTTAATGCATGTGTAACGGTCAGAATAGACACAAGTAACTATAACATATTTAACACACTTTAATAGAGAAGGAACTTTTGGAATCTCTTCCATTCACTGAACAATGCACAGAAGCTGAATCAGAGTTCGTAAAATTGTTGTATGAAAGCAGATTAAAGAAATATCAGGAGCCGAACACGAAGCAACCACTTGCAAGTTGCAGTGTAATGGGAGTTCTTGTCACAGATAGATTACTAGGTAATTTAGATATGGAAGTTGCGGAGGCTGAACGACTATATTACAATTGTGATTATCACAACTGCTTCTCCCTCACAGAAAGGTATTTGTGAACAGACATTGATTGCATGGAAATTTATACAAGTTTATAATGTTCGTTATACTTTAGGATATTAAAGAAAGATCCATACCATAATTCGTGTCTGCCAGTTCATATTGCCTGTTTAGTAGAACTCAAAAAGACCAATGGTAAGTAGAATACTATAAAACTCAAAGATACGGTTACCATATATCCTTTTGCATCGGATATGCCCTCTTTTTTTAGACATAAAATTTCATTAGGGTCTGCTTTTTTAAATATGCAAAATTATCCGGGTTTCTACTTTCTACGCTTTTGTCATTGAACGTTGTTGAATTCTTCTTTATTATCTGTCCTCACGTTGCAAATGTGTTTTAAGAATCCTAACACCTAAGTCCTTGAATCCAGGGGTGCAATAGTTTCTCTAAAATCATTACTGATATTGTACAGTCTCCTTTCAGTTTGGAATTTCACACAATCAGTAATGATGTGTGATAATAAATTCGTATACTGCAGATTGATCTCCATTCCTCAAGTTTCTTTATTTTTAACAAAAGTTTTAATATTTACTTTCATCAAAAGCAGTAAGATTTATGTTGTTTCCTGTTAAAATATATAGTTAAAACCTAATACACTGGTGAATTACTTATGAAAATACGTTCTCTTTTGTTTCTATCAAATGCAATTCTGTCCTCTTTTTGACAAAAGGAAAATATGGTAACTCTATCAAAGATAAAATGTGACATTTATCAATTATAAGTAGTAATGTTCCAGCTTTGTTTTATCTGGCCCATAAACTGGTTGATTTATATCCAGACATGGCCTTAGCATGGTTCGCAGTCGGATGCTATTACTACAGTATAGGTAACTATCATTTCAACCGAGCGATTTCGATTTTTAGAACTATAGTCTTGTACATAAAAGATTGTATTTATTAACAGGAAAAAGTGATCAAGCGCGAAGATATTTAGCAAAAGCCACAGCATTGGATAGGTTGTTTGGTCCTGCTTGGTTGGCTTACGGTCATTCCTTTGCAGTAGAAAATGAACATGATCAAGCAATGGCTGCTTACTTTAAGGCTTCTCAGCTGATGAAAGGTTGTCACCTGCCACTTTTATACATTGGACTTGAATGTGGTTTAACAAATAATCTTAAATTGGCTGACAAGTTTTTCCAACAGGCTCAGGCAATAGCTCCAAATGACCCATTCGTTATACACGAGATGGGCGTTATATCCTTTTACAATTCAGAGTAAGTATTTCAATATTTGTCGCGACACTGTCCCTGACACTCAGTTACTTAAACGTGCAAAAGAGAGGTTCAAAATTTACTCTGCAACCTGATTAGTGTACTTCCATCCTTCCACGGTTTTGGAAATCTGTCTAATTTATCAAGAGTATCGTTTCATCGAATACAGTTACAAAACTGCTGAACGCCAGTTTAAGGAAGCCATGAAAAGAATTCAAGGTGGCCTAAAGGATGTTGTTCTACCTAGTAAATGGGAGGCACTTCTCAATAACTTGGGTCACACGTGTAGAAAAATGAAGAAATATGAAGAGGCCTTAGAATATCATCAACAGGTCAGAATCTCGGCCGAAGTTGTAGGTGATATAATTAACTATTAGATTTCAATGAAATTCGGTATACTGCTAGGTAAAAATGTTAACGCTAAACCTACCGATAGTTTTTGTACACTAATTTATACTTTTTACATTTGAACGCAATTTAGTATAGACCAGTGATTGCGAACTGTTTCGAAAAGTGGATCAAATTTTGTTCATTATTCATTTTAATACTCGCTAAGTCAGTGATGTCACTTGGAGGGTTGGAGGGGGGGGGGGGGCATAAAAAGGATGCCAATAATTTGGAAACACCGACAATTTGTTGGTAGAAAAAGTTGACCATTTTTTTGGTTCTCATTCTTAAAATCCTCTAAAAAGGTTTACGTTTCCTTTTTGTTTTACAACTTTTACTTTTGCATGTGAAGAGCAAAAAATTAAGGTCGACGTGACAAAATTGATATCAATAGAGTGCTACCATGAATTACCGCACCGGGTCTAACGAATATTA